TGAAAGAACCTCTGAAGATTTGCTGCAATTTGAGGCAAAACTTGTTAATAGCCAAATCTAATGGCACCCTCTCCATTTTGACAATTTTATTTTAATGTTCAACTTTCTTTTGGTCGTTCACTTTTAGCTTCTGATACAGAGGCCACATGTCTTTCATAGCACACAGAAATGGATTGGGGGGGGGGGAGGGGGCTAAACTTTTGGGGACATCCAAAACTGGAATGGGACATGAACCCACTTAAATGAAAATCTTTCCAAATAACCTGGTCAAGATCTGAGATTTGGATAACCATGCTAGGATTATTTCTAAAGAAATGGAATGTGGTTTCAAATAGTTGAAAACAACAGCTGTGGTGCTTTGAGGGGAGGCAGTTTATTTGGGTGGGTGGGGGCTCTTCTTTTCTCTCCCTTTGTAAAATTACCACATCCTGCTGCCTCTGTCTATGTTCCCTATTAAGACTGTGCATTAAGATAATATACAGTTCCTTTATTTTCAGTCCAATGCCCAAAATATCCTAATACGCTCAAAGAAAATGGCAACAACAACAATAATAAACATCTGGATGTCTTTATTATTTGTTTCTCTGATCAGCTGGAAGGCATCAACCCCACAGCTTGGTGTCAGAAACAGACTGGACGAGGATTGCATGAAAAACAACCAGTCATTCACCTTTCTTTCCCTTTCTCTTTGTTTTTTTGTCTTCCTGGATACTGTTGTGAGAAAAGCAATTTGATGCATCAGGATGCTCCCTCCCCTCCTTCCTACATCCAGAAACTTGGTCCATTGTACAGTTCGGAACTCTTTGTTGTCTTTGGCTGGGCAGACAACCGTGGGTGCAAAATAGGGTTTTTGTGTAACGCTCAGCACTCTTTCCTCCACTTTGCACTCAGCTAATTAGCCTCTTTCCCTCATTTTGTCTTTGGGGGAAAAGACTTTCTACTGATACTAACAGGGGGGAAAAATGGGTCAAAAATGTGCTTATATTGTTGTGAACATCTGATCTTTCAGCTTTTTGCAAATAAAGAAAGTTTATGATGTTTGTCTTTAGCTGTTTCTATTGGAGCCCTTTTTAAAAAACAAACCAACAAAGGAGAAATTTGGAACAATATGCTCTGTTGGCACCATTGTGTATTTTTGCCAATTCACCATGATCTGTCATCTCTTTCTATCTACCCAAGGTTATATATTTATGTCAGAGGTGTCACAAGGGAGTTTAAAAAAAAGGCAAGGTATAAAGTCCAATATGCAAGTGAAGTCCTACCCCCTTTTTACATGTGTACAACAAACTTTTAAAAAGTATGGGATTTTGATCACAGGGTTGTAGCCATCTTGACTTTTTTAAACCCCTTACTGTGGCTACCCCATGTCTTCCATTTGTCATTATAATTCTCACTAGTTAGGGTTAATGCTACAGTTCAGACGGGATATATAATCTCTTCTTTTCTTAATCAAAATCAAAATAAACAAAGCAATGAAAAACTGCAATGTTGGTTCCCGAATTAATATAGCTCATTGGCTTTTGATTTTCTTGAAACAGCTCTGGATAGTTTGGGTCACATATTCATTTTTTTAAAAAATACCTAGCCTGTCAGAGCATGTCCTTATATTGATTTAAGGATTAAAGAGATCAATTTTATTTGGTGAAAATATATTTTCTCATTCCAAATCTAAGACCAGAACACTATCCTCTTGATGTAATGACTTAAAGAAATGTACCGTGTTCAAAGGACACATAAGAAATAATTATTTTTTATTTTGGGATTGAGCCATGATATTTTGCATCATCAGGCAAGTGGCCACTTTTACTATTCTTCCAAGCACTGGGTTGTTTTGGCACTTGAGGCAGAAAATGCAGAAGAATGTCCTCTCTTCAGCAATAAAACGTAATAATGAAATATTAAATAATTAACTATGTATTATGACAATATACTGTTACCCCATTATAACTTAATAAGAAAATTGAATATTTACTAACTTAAAAAATAAAATATCTGAAAAATATTAAATTTCAATGCTTTATAAATTTGCATGTTATTGTAGTAAATTTAAAACTTAATAAATTGGCTATTTTAATTCATTCTTCAAAAACATTTTTGACAGTAAACTTTCTAGGAAAAATATGCTTGTTTTTCTCTCTCACCTGACCTTCAATAAAACTTTTCACAGGCTATGATTCTAAGAGAAAGGTTATTAAAATCACTCACGATACCTGAAGGCAACAGGTATAAGACTTCACCAACTTTTTCTTGTATAATGCTGTAATTGCTACAGTTCTAGAATTCAGACTCATCATGTACCAAATCTTTTAACATTAACAGATTGTGGAGCCCCTTGACCTCAACTGGAATACTTAGATCCAAAAGATGTCAGTCAGAAAGTATTAAAACTGCAGGCGAGACAGAGTGTTTAACATAATGCTAGTCAGGATGACTTTAGCATCCACTGTATCACCCATTGAGTGCAATTAATTTGGGAAGTGAAAAACAATCACCGGTGCCATTCCAATCCCTACCACCAGGAAAATCATGGCATTAAACAGCCTTTCTGCTATTTTTTTCCGACCGAATATGGCTGTTGAGATTGTAAATAACCTACATGAATGGACCCTGCAGACACATTTTATCGTAAATTCATGCAGACAAATTTATATCGCAGTGCCATCACCAGAGTCCAATTGCAAATTAAGTTTTGATTGGCACTTAATTTCTAGACTTCAGATCCATTACTTGCCTACAATCTCACGCAGAAAGAGAAAGAGGATACCCTTTCATCCAGGGAAATGTGTAAGCCTACCCAAGGGTCACACTTCTCTTAGAATTTATTTTAGTGTGCTGATGCAGTTGTTATGTTTCAGAAATGTAGTGTGGAGTTGCTCAGAGTATAACACATGCCCCTTATTTCCAGGAGAGCCATTACACAGAGAGAAAGTCTTGAGGGATTGTGATACTATGCTACTAAGCATCATAACTGTAATAATTACTACAGTTGAATACAGACTGTAACCTCTATCAAGCAATGGAAACTTAGCTCTTCTTGGTAGGGTCCATATTCACAGATTGCATCAAACCAAAGTGTGTTTTCTGGCATACTTATGGAACTACAGCTATTGTGGCATTACTTTAATAAACTATTAGGAACACAGGAAAACCCTGTCATTTCTGTTTTCCTAAGAACAAATCCACAAAATCCTTCCTTCCTTCATAAAGTTGTGACTTATCAATTTCAAAACATTTGTTAAATGAATTTATGGACTTTCTTGCCACAGTTGTTAAGTGAATCACTGCACTTGTTAAATTAGTAACACCCTTGTTAAGTGAATCTGGTTTCCACATTGACTCGGCTTGTTAGAAGATTGCAAACGGTAATCACATGACCCTGGGACACTGCAACCGTAATAAATACATGCCAGTTGCCAAGCATCTGAATTTTGTTCATGTGACCATGGGGATACACTACAGTGGTCATAAATCTGAAAAACGGTCGTAAGTCACTTTTTTCAATGCTGTTGTAAGCTTTGAACTGTCACTAAATGAATTTTTGTAAGCCGAGGACTACCTGTACTTCTCCAAAACATGGCAGGGCTTATGCTGGGAGGCAAAATGACTAATTGTCAGGTGCAAAGAAGGTTGAAGATACTCAATACTACGGACATATCTAAGTCTTCCAGTCAACAATGGAAAGAACCGCCATCGAGGAATCTCCTACAGCAGAAGCCAAACCAATGTCTTATTCCATCAAGAAGCATTCACGGGCAAGTTATTACACATGCTAGTGCAAGCAGGATGGTAGGCTTGTGCACCAGATGTGCTGCATTGTAGCTCGCATTATTCCTAACAAGCTTGTTGAACCTGCTGACTGAAACTGATAAGGAATTGGGAGTTAACTATCTGGAGTAGGAAGGAAGATCTTCTAAGGAAGATTGCCACGATCACCAACTTAAGTTGACGGATGATTTATTCACTGGGAATGTGTGCTCCGAATTTGTGTCCAAATTTAGAACAACAGATAAAAACAATCAAACCAAGCCAATAGTCTGGTAGGAACTGCTCATGAGGTTTCCCTTGTTGGCTTTAGCAAATTATAACTTGCATGCATTAGAACACCCACCCATCCACCCAATGTTAATTACCCGCATTGGGCTTTCATGCATCCCAGCAGCAGTGGAAAACACAACACAACACAACCAAAAATAATTCATGTATGAAAAAAAAAAATTAATAGTGGAAGACATATTTCAGAAAAAGATGAATTTTGTAAATTTGCTCATAAATGACAGTCAGCCACTTCCTAATAAAAGTATGATATCCGTGCCCCCTATGTTAATCCCTATTGGATTAACATAGCTTCGATGATTTTTATATCATAAAATACATATTGCTATCTAAAAGCAACGCTATCCTCCTGGCAATATTTTCCTCCCAAGTACTTAATGTTTATACAATATTGTTCTGAGTAGGTTATGGGATTAGTAAAATGACTATTATAAATAATAATATCTTCCAAGGAGAAGCTAATATGCTAATGACAACTTAAGATGCCCACTGTGGCTCAAACTCTAATTGTTCCATCAGCTCTAAACCTAACCCAAACTCATTGCCCTGCTTCTCAAGCCAAAGAGGTATTCCCCAAATTCTTAAGAGGGAAATATCAGCTCTTCTCCTCCCACTCATGCAAGTATACATTTACACAATTGGTTACTCTTCTCTGTGATATTTATATTAGACCAAATTGGTCAATTCCGTATATATCTTAGGTGCCTCTTTGCAGGATTTCCTCCCCACCTAATATTCTTCTCTTTTCTGAAGTGACTTCCTGCTGTCTTTTCCCCTCCTGTAATATCCATGCCATATTTACCCAAAAGACCTTTTCACACTACATGAAACTGAGCAAATATATAAAAAAAAATGATATCATGAGAAAATGCACAGAAGCTCTGCATAATAACCACAATCCTAAGAATAGTGACAGTGATTGCAATGGGAGAGATATAAGTATGTACCTCTTTCGTTGCCCCATAACCCGCTCTGTAAGAGATAGATTTCTTCCAGAGTTGCTGAAAGGATAAGAGCACTGGTCAAGTTTACAGAAAATTGATTTCCAGCTTGCAAATAACAATGACAAGTTCATTCAAAAATTGCAGAGCTCATACTGGCTTTGGCTGAAGCTATACAAATGCATATGGATTTTCATATCTTTTTGCTGTAGTACAGATGTTTAATATTTGTGCTGGCCCAAATACATGGCAAAGAGTTTAAGGATGATCATTTTTACCACCCTTGGTTTCTTATTTCCAATTATATTGCTTTTATCCATGGAACTGGCACTAAGTTTTTTTTAATAAAGATTTAATAGCAAATCCTATTGCTCCTTTGGTGAACCGTCTCCAGAAAGCCCATAAGTTAACTTGTTTTTAATGGTTCAAGAAAAAAAAAACACACACAACCATCTTTGCTATTAATTTTTCCATTGTAATCATTTGATATTAGAAGTGAAACAGTGCTTCATTCTGGTAATTTATATCCAATATGTATCAATGATAATCTAAGCATTCACGACACAGATGGAAAGCAAATATATTAAATAAATACTGAAAAATAATCTGGGTAATGTCAGCATGTGATAATAACCTAAAAAAATCACTGCAGAAAACAATTTAATTATTAAAATGAAGCCAAATCTACTGACAAGCTGTGTAATTTGCATTCAGATAACTTCTTTTAAAAACTCTTTATTTTTATTTATTGTGACTAGCTCTTTTTCTGCCGAAGGCATCTTTTCCATGGAAATTATTAATCTACTATTTCAATGAAGTACTATAGTGATACAGGCAGTCCTCGCTTACTGACCACTCATTCAGCAGCCATTCAAACATACATCTTCACTGAACAATGACATTTACATCCTATTGTCAAAAATTGCAGTTGCCACAGCATCCTTCACACCTGACAATTGTAGCCAGAACTATGTCAGTGCCATAATATGGTGCCACACTTTATGACATCATTTAGCAATGGAGCTGCCAGTCTCCACTGTAATCAGTAAGTGAGGACCTATCTATAGATAGAGTAGGATGGAACTCCTCTCTATGTTTTGTGATATATATATACTGAGTACTTACAGTTTCAGTATAACACTTACTACTATACATTGTAAATAAATGGGGAGAAAATAGGGAGTGGTAAGACCATCAGTAAATATTGAAATAAGAATGGCCATTCTTTTACTAGAATCTTAACCTAAAGAGCTTTTTACAAGGAAGAAATGCAAAGCTGTGTGGAAATTCAGTATGAACAGAACCATCCCGGTCTACCCAGTGCGAAGAGGCAAGATCAGGCCAGCATGGCTTTGGCCTTATCTACCCAATGCGAAGAGGAGTGATCAGGCCAGAATGGCTTCGGCCCAATCTACCCAGTGCAAAGAGGAAACATGACAGCAGTTTGGGAAGTGGCGTCACGCTGGCCATGCCCACCCAGTTGGCCATGCCTGCCTGGCCCCTGAAGGTCAATCACAGCCCTGATGTGGCCCTCAATGAAATTGAGTTTGACACCCTTGTTCTAGGCCAACATTTCTCGACCTTAGCAACTGGAAGACACATGGACTTCAAGAATTCTGGGAGTTAAAAGTCTACACCTCTTACAGTTGCCAAAGTTGAGAAACATTGTTCTATCTAGGCAATCGAATCAAGATCACAAAAGTCAAGTGAAAGCTCTCATTTTGGTCTCTGTAGGGGATACTTTGCATTCTGAGGTGCAAGCAGGAGTCTACACCTAGAACGCTTCTTCTGGCAGTCCCATTTCACTGGTGTTTGCATCCGACTGTTGCATCCCACTGTTGACCAGATTAGCTCATTGCAAATGGCTCCATCCTTTGGAGTGGGCTAATCAGGTTAGCCCCGCCTTTGAGGATGCCCGAATCTCAGAAAGTCCAAGTGCCCCTTTCAACTCAGACCTGTAGGTAGGACATGTTATCAGTTTGCGTTGCATCTGACTAGCTAAGTTATGATTGTATACTTGTACTCTGCAAGCAAAGGCAAAGGAATCCCACAGGTATAAACATTGAGAGAAGGCCATTTTTTCCCCACCCATTTGTTAATCAATTTCTGGCAGCCTGTTTCTACTCCCCATTTGTTTCTGGCTCAGGGAGTGGTGTAGTAGTCTAGAGGTGGAGCTCTCACCTCACAATCAGGAGGCTGTGAGTTTGATCCTAGGTAGAGGCAGATATTTCTCTCTCTGGGCACATTGAGAATATATCTGCTGAATAAACACTCGCATTGGCAAAAGGAAGGGCAACCGGCCATTAAAATGTTCTGCTAGCTCCATTCAGTTGCCCAGACTCTACCCCGCAAGGGATTATGGAAAAGGAGGAGGAAGAGAAAGAGGAGGAAGAGGAAGAAGAGGAGGAGGAAGAGGAAGAAGATTTGTTTCTGACTCAGCACCCAATCTGAATAGTTAAAGAGACTTAGAATAAAATGGATTAGTCCTCTGATAAACAAAACAATATTTCATTTAGTAGTTCATTATATATAAAATTACGTAAACCAGCAAGAATTTATGGATATAGTGTCATCCAGGCACTGCTACTTATTCCATGTATGGAGTGTAGCACAGGGTCAATTTTTCACAAAGCTATTGGAATCAATGGTAAGAAAGGACCTATTAGAATGTAAACGCTACTGAATCAGATATCTAGAACAAGATATAAACTACATTGTCTTGGTTGTGCACAGCCCAGGCAGCAGAACAGCATGAATTTATGCCAGAAAAGGCCAGCTGTCAAAAAATTGGCTAAATGTCCTTCTGTTTCAGACATTAGCTTATAAAGAAATTAAGGATTCAGTTAAACTAATTCACTTTTAGACGAGCTTGCCATCATAAGGCTGACAGTATTCCAGTAGCTCAATAGTCAGACACAGAGGCTGTCAATGATCCTGCAAGCAATTAACTTTCTTCCAGCTCCTCAAAACTGCATTATGTAGAAAGGGAGATGGAGTCTTACCCAGGCTTTTCAGGAAAATGCCAAAACACAATGATGCCATGTGTCATACAGCTTTTATCCGATTGCCAAAAATGATAATGGGACAAATGGATGAGTGGCTGGGTGGGTAACTTAAACAGGTCAGGGCACAATCAGCCCAATAATTTTGCATTTTGTACCAACAGCAACAAAATACTCCATAGAGAGTCACTACGCTCAATTATACAAGACCTAACGAGGACTGATATGTAGAATGAGCTAATGTTTCATTTACTGGGTAAATAAAATGGGTAGTAAGAATAATGGATAGCTACTGCTTAAATTAGGCAAAAGCCTGTTAATATCTAAATTCACATTTTTTTTAAAAAAAATGGACATTTAGCACTACGGAGTGGTATTTTTTTTTTTTAATGAGCAAGATGACTTTGTGTCTGTCACAAGTTAAACCACTCTGATATGGAAGAGGTTGCGTTGATTTTCCCTAGTCTAAGTCCCACTACCTGTACAGGAGTCAATGGAACCAGATTACAGGTAGCTCTAGACTTATGATCATAATTGAGCAAAGGATGTATATTTCTAAGCAAGGTAGTTAAGTGAGTTGCAACTTTTTCTGCCATGGTTGTTAAGTAAATCACTGTAGCTATTTAGTGAATCTTGCGGTCGTAAAACGAATCCAGCCATTCCTGTTCACGTTGCTTGCTGGAAGCTGGCTGGGAAGGTCACAAATGGTGATCCTATGACCCTGCTGGGACCCTGCAATTGACACAATGTCAATGTATATAATGTCTGCCAAGCAAGCAGATTTTGATCATGTGATCGCACTGGTCGTAAGTGTGAGGAACCGTTATATAAGTCACTTTTTTCAGTGCCACTGTAACTTCAAATGGTTGCCAAATGAATGGTTTTAAGACGGGAACTACTGGTAGCTAAACTTCTTTAAAAATATATTAAGCTGAAAAACGTTTTAGGTGATATAGTAGAGAAGCAACATTGATTGCACCTGTAGATTGCCACTGGAAGGACTAGAATGGAGGTATAGTACACCTATTGTGGCCTCATGTCTCCTGGTGGCTCTTAATACCACCAAACATGGTATCCTTCTGGACTGGCTGCAAGGTTTAAGTTGCATGGTGTTGCAAATGCTTTTCTTCCTTCTCCAGGATCAGTTCTCATTGAAGGGAGAGATTTAGCCCAGAGTTCTATTCTTGCTCTGCTCTTATTTAACATTTACATGAAACTGCTGAGTGAGCTCATACTTCAATATCAGGTCAGGTATCGTGAATACACTCATGATACTTAGTTATGAATCTCCATCTTAGGCTGAGCCAGTGATGTTATCAATATTCTTTTCCAATATCCAGAGGAGAGGGCTGTTGGTTTTGGGGTCCCTTGGCTATGGAGACTCTCCACCTTTAACCCCGGACAAATGTACATTCCCTCAGACAAAACTGATGCACAATCTGAGGATCCTTTAGGACAGGGGTGTCAAACTCGATTTCACTGAGGGTTGCATCGGGGTTGTGTTTGACCTTGGGGGGCTGGAGTGGGAGTGGCTTGGGTGGGCGTGGTCAGCTTGATGTCACTCATGTTGGGGGCGCCTGTGGAGGCCTGAGCACTCTGCCAGTGAAAATGGCCTCCCAAGCTCCATTTTGGCTACGACGACCTCCTGCAACCTTCTGCCAGCCCTCCCAAACTTCATTTTCACTGGTAGAGGCACTATGGGATGGTCCTTCACTGTTTCCAGGGTGGCTCCTCGGGTCAGATCTAAGCACCCCACCAGCTGGATCCGTCCCCCGGGCCTTGAGTTTGACACCCCTGCTCTAGGACTCTTAGCATTTGCCACAATCCATACTGTGTCAACTATACCATTTCAGGATGTGAAAGCCCTAACTCATGCTTACTTTTCCTTAGTGATCTCATATGAACTTTACAACACATTCCCCAATCCCCAATCCCCAGCCCACAGCCTGATACTGGGCCGCAGCCTGTTCAGAACTGGGCCACGCAAGTGGTGGGTGAGTACATGTAACTCCAATTGCACGAATGGCTGGCACTCACGCTCATGAGTAAAGGTCCATT